ATATAGACCTGCAGACATATTTGAATATGTACGGGTCTCCACAGGCGAGTTATCCGGTGATGCACACACGTCCGGTCCCCACAAGCGAGTTATCCGGGGAATAAATCTTATTGGTCTCATGTGTGTAAACTCCCTAGTGCTATTAGGCCTACCATACCTACCTGTAGAAGCATAGCCTTTGTCTGCATAATGCACTGGATTCGAAGAATAACTATTAATGTCCTAGGAGTTGGCCGGTGAGGCTATTGGTGTAGACAAACACGTAAAGCACCATAAATAACAAAAATAAATGTTTGCTAGATTCTTGACGGTCAGAACTCGGAAGCCGATTATCACTTATTGGGGATTGGGGAGGAAGGATAAATCTTGTAAAATTATAATTTTATCCCCATTTTTGATAGTCAACAAACAATCAAATTATCAGAGGACTAAATTGGATAAAAATTGTATAGTTGTGGACTTAATTGAGTAAAAATGGTAATCGAGAACCAAATTATAATTACGGCATAGTCGAAGGACCATTTTAGTTATTAACTCTAATGAAAATGTAGATTTCCCAATACCGTAGCTTAAAGCAATCGCAAAGCAAGCCTGCGTAGCTAGTCTTCACTTTCATAGAAGAGTATGGTCGGCCATGATTAATGGTTTGAGAGATGACAAAGATGAACAGTTTGTTGCCCAGATTTTTTGGTGTAATTAAAACGTGAATAAAAATGGCTCTTCTTAAAGAGAATCTTATTGCAGATCGACGTACTTCAGTACTTGTCCTCACGATGTACTTTCCAGAATTTTAAAGTAACCAAATTCACATAGAAAAACATGGTCTCGCTGTCGGTGACACAAAACTCGTGAATCATGAACCAAACAAAATTTAAGGTCCAAAATATTCGAAAGTAGTGGACATACTTAAATACTCGTATAAGATTACATCAATAATCTGTACAAACACATCAGTGAAACATACTGTTAGTTGTAGCACTGAAAATATAAATGAAATACTCGCACGGGCTTAACTCAATGGTTTAGTGAGCAGTATTTGGGAGAAGAGACCAAAGTCCAAACTTCGGCGGCGGCAGTGTGTAATTCAGTCACCGTGATTTACAACTTCCCACAATGCTCTGTCGGGTCGGAGTAATAACAACAAAGTTTTAAGTTCGAATCGTTTCCCTAAAAAAAAAAAATTCGACTCTTAGTGAGAGCACCTTACTGGTATTTCTAGGTTTGATACACCTAAAAAATCATTAATTTTTTTTTAGGTATATTGTTAGACTTTTATTTGTGTTTTTAAAATTTTTCCAACGTACCAATACATCAAAAAAATTCAAAAAAAAAATTAAATTAAAATTTCCAATGTACATAAAATCAATGTACCAAAAGTTATATTGAAAAATTTTAAATTTTAATGATACATCTGTAGACACAGGAAATTTGAAGTCGATAAATGGGCTAGTTCATATGTTCGGGGCTTCGTTGGATGAAATTGGACCAATTATTGATTTATTTGGATTAATTAAATTGACCCAATTCTCCGAATTAAATATAAATTGAAGACTAATGGACTCGGATTATAAGGACGATCTGTATTTGGCCAGCAATAAGATATTCAATTTAATTATTGAATTTAAAGAGCAAATGCCAATTTTAGTCCCACGACTATTAGCAAAATGACGGTTTTAGTCCACATGTTTAATTCCTACCAATTTTCATCCACGACTATTATTTTTGTACCAATTTTCATCCACGACTATTATTTTAGTACCAAAATTCATCACGTCGGTCACCCATCTATTTAAAACATCCCGAAATCTAAAAATTTTAAGGGCATTTTTGTCCTTTCCAACTTAATATTCCAATGTGAGCATAAATAAATGAATTTAAGCCCAAAGATTGATCCCAATTCGCAATTCTCCTCCTCATCCTACATTAATTTGAGAAGGAAAACTGCGAATTGGGATAGATATTAGGACTTAAATCCCTTTATTCATGCTCAAATATGAATCCTAATTTGAAAAGCACGAAACTACCATTAATAATTTCATATTCCGGCATGTCTTAAACGAAGGGGTGACCGGCGTGATGAATTTTGGCACTAAAACAATAGTTGTGGATGAAAATTGGTACTAAAACAATAGTCGTGGATGAAAATTGGTTGGAATTAAACATGTGGATCAAAACTGTCATTTTGCTAATACTCGTGGGACCAAAATTGGTATTTGCTCGAATTTAAATATGTGACAAGATATTCATATATTTAGATTAGTTAGTTATTTAATTTGAATATGTGATAAGATATTCATATATTTAAATTAATTAATTATTTAATTTGAATATGTGATAAGGTTATGAACCTGAATACAATGGTGGCTAGATACATTGTGGATAAATGTTCATATTATTCTAAAATGTTAATTGATAATATAAGGATAATATTGAAGAGTTTGGGTTCTAGTGAAAGTCTTCCATATTCTCCCCTATAAATAGAGCTCTTCATTCATTCCAAAAATCACACTTGAAGAGTTGAAGAGAAGCTCTGAATTCAAGATCAAATTAAGCTCTGGATTGAAGATCAAACCAAGCTAAAGGATTGAAGATCAAATTCCAAAAAATCAAGCCAAGCTAAAGGAAGATCAAATCAAGCATCCAAGAAATCAAGTCAAGCTAGAGTGGATTGAAGATCAAATAAGCTAAGTTAAAGTGGATTGAAGATCAAGCCAATTAAAGACCGGAGGCCCTTCAACGAAGATTAAGCAACAAAGCCCACCAAAATTTTCAAATCAAGTAAACCAAGTGAAGAATCAAAGGACTTCTTGATAGAGATCTTGTACCCGCGCAATTTGAAATTTGAATATATATACCTGTACAACTTTTCTTGTTTACAACATCAGAAATATCTCAAAATTTTCAAACATGATGCGTTAGAAAGTAATAGAAATCATACCTAGCTAGAGAAATTCATGTTTGGTAGTAAGATGTATAATAATTTAGGGTGTGATTCTGCTTATGATTAATGAATTAGTCTTTTATTTTAAAAAAATTAATTTAGGGTGTGTTTGATTCACGCATAAGAATCGGAATCGGAATAGAAATTAAATACGTGGTAATGATAATAGATTTTGGTGAAAGCATTTTGCATGTTCGGTAGTAGGATGGAATTGGAATAATTACCAATATTGATGTTTGGTTATGTATGACCTATAGTGGGAATAAATATTTTAAAAATAAAAAACAAAAGATCAAGACAATTGATCATAATATAATGACATCTAAAGCACCAATATAAAAAAAAAAAAAAAATCAAAAGCAAAAATCTAAAAGCACTAATCTAAACTTAAAAATCATATTACCAATATGATGGAATAATACTATACCATTTTTAATTAGGGAATGAGATTTTTAATTGAAGGGTAATCAAATCTCATAGTTGTGTTCTAAAAAGTTGTTCTAAATATCCCTATCCCGCAAGGAAACAAGAATGATATGGTGATATGGGACAAAGATGAAAAAGGGATATTCACTGTGAAGAGTTGTTATAAAGCCATCTCAAATAATATGGACTTGGTGCCCCGGACTTGGTGCCCCGCCCAATCTGGTCAGCAGTATGGAATGCGCACATCCCTCCCAGGGCAAAGATTTTTCTATGGCAAGCTTGCACAGGATGCCTTCCAACGACCGACAAGCTGCGACAAAGGAGAGTAGATTGCAACCCCACTTGCCCCTTGTGTAATGAAGCAGATGAATCTGTATTCCACGTCCTTGCATACTGCAGGCTGGCGACACAGTGCTGGAGTTTTTTCGAGAGGCTGCCTGACAAGGATCAGTTCCAGAACTTCACAGATTGGATCGGACAGATTTTTGCCACCCTACAGCATCCTCAAATCTGTCTCTTTATCCTTATTTGTTGGAATATATGGCGTGCAAGGAATGATAAAGTTTGGAAGAATGTTTCAACCCCAGCTCGAGTCATTGTCGAAAACTCAAAATCTCTTTGGAAAGATTGGAAAGCCTGTTCAGATGTGGCAACTGATCTTGGCCAGAGGCAGAACCAATTCATAACTAGATGGCTATATCCAAAGCCGGGTTGGTTAAAGCTCAACGTGGATGCTGCTTTGGATGTAAACTCAGGGAAGATGGGGTTGGGATGGGTGCTCCGTGACCATCATGGTAGCTTCTTGTATGCTGTTAGTTGCCCATGGAATGGTGTCTTTTCCCCCAGAGAAGGTGAAGCACTCGCCATTAGGGAAGCACTCAGTTGGTCCAAACGGCTTAATTTGGAGTTCCTTCATGTCGAAACGGATTCCTTACTAGTGGTTCAAGGTCTCTCTTCTCTTGATTGTGTCACCTCTTTTGATCTCTTATTAGCTGATGTTAAGGATTTACTGAGCACTTTTGCTCATAGTTGTATCTCTTTTGTTAAACGTTCTGCGAATCGGATGGCCCATAGTCTAGCAAGGGAGTCCATTTCTATGTCTGAACGTATGGAGTGGACTGCTGCCCCTCTTGCCTTCATTTGTAATTCTCTTTACCATGACTTAATATAAGTTGTTGTTTGCTTTCAAAAAAAAAAAAAAAAGTTGTCAACTAAACACTAACAATGATTTTGACTCTTATTCTGATGTGTAAACCCATGAACCAAACACACCCTTAAAAGTATTTGAATTGATACTAGTCAAATTCATTTGAAATTAAATTTCATGTGAAATTTTTTCAAAATAGTACATCATCATTATTAAATTATTACGGATTATAATATTATAATAAATATATCATTACTAATCAAACAATACAATTACATAATATAATTCATGAACCAATAATTAATAATCATTGTTACATTATCCATTAATAATTTGTAAATCAATACAAAATTATTATTAATAACTAACACGAAAAATGACTTTGACTTTTTAAACAATAACAAGACAAACAAAAATCTTTTTTTATGATTTTAGATAATAAGACAAATTGAAAAGAGTTATTCCTTGTTTTGCCTAAATTCAAAATTTTTTTCGAATTGAAATCCATTTCAATATGTTGTCACCATCGGAGAAAGCACCCGTTGTACTCTCCCTAACCGCCTAACTTCCGGTGATGAGCTAAGCCTAACTGCATAACCTACTGGACTGCTCTCTTTATTCTTTCCTTCTGCTTCTGGAAATGGCATTTGTAACACATCACTCCTTCACTCTGATATGACCCGACCCGAGTTGATCATGTTGCAGCGAGGTCACGGAAAGAACAAGGAGAAGATGGTGAGGAGCAAGCGGACAGTAGTCCTGATTGTGTTGGGGCTGGCAATGGTGATGGGCTTAGCTATCTACTTGCGTCTTTGGACAATCGAATACCGCATCACTACCGACGAGACCGAACTAATCAGGTATAACCCTTTCGTTCCTCTTTGTGTTTTCTGTGAATTTAGGGTTGGAGAACATTCGACCAAGAACTTCATTTGGATTGTGCATTGAATCAAGAATGGATGAAAGTTGATTTGTGGTATCTACAATATGTTGTTGGCCTCTGTTCTTGTTACTAGGTTTATTACTTTTGATAAAAATTGTAATATATTTTCTTCATATGGAGACGGGAGTTAATTGTCTGTGCTAGGATTGGTTTCTTTCATCATTGGGATTGGTGGATTTTGAATTTCTTTTCAGCCATAATATATGCAGTAGAGAAACAGCTTGAACTACTGAACTAGTTTCAAGGTTGATGACTGATGAAAAAGAATTGCCAAATGAGCAAAACAATTTCGATTTTTGTATGGGAAATGAAGTAGTCTTAGCTTTCTGTTCTGGTGTACAAGTATGTGTGTTTCTAGACTAATCTGAATGTGCACTACGTCATTCATCAATTGAATTTCAACTGTAGATTAAAAAACGAATTGGCAATTGAGTCTAGAAAGAGTGAAAGACCATAGCCATGGTTAAACATAATTTGATCTACTCTATGAAATGTGATGTTGCACTGTATTGACTGCAGAATTGTTAGCAGTTATAGTTAGTTATTCAAAATTCTTTCTCAAAATCAAGTAACATGATGAATGACACTGCTTTTATCCTCTACTTTGGGTTCCTTTTAGGAAACAATTTGATCTTGCTAATAGAGAAGCAATGGATGAATCTGCATATTGGAGGAGTAGATTTGATGAGGAGGCAGGACAGGTTAGCAACTGCCAGAAGGAGCTACTTGAGGTGAGTGCACACATATTTGTGGCTTATTGTTGTTGTTGTATATCGTTATATTGGGTGGGGACTGGGGGGTTGGGGGAGTGCAGGACCAATAGAAAAGTTTATGAAGAATGAGAAGGAAAACCGAAAACCAAACAAAATCGTTTTGTTTATCTTGTATGATGCTATAGGAAACTCTTGATTGAAGCACTTTAAATTACAAATGCTATGCCTCAAATTGACACTCACTTATATGTATTGGTATATGTTGTGCCTAAGATTAAGCAGTCTTCTGGGGTGGAGGGTACTGGCATCAATAGCAAATTGGAATCATTACGAAAGGTAATTAAATACTTAATATAATGCCTCTTGAGATCCCTGTCATATTTTTTTAATGCAGTAGTTGAGTTATTACCAGCCAGCCCTTTTGGAATCTGTTCCTTGCTAGATCTTTTTTACACAATTTCAATTTTGATTTTGTCAAATACCAGGAAAACATGGACTTGCTTGATAAGATTGAATCTTTGAAACAAGAGCTTGGATCAGTAAAGTTGAAATGCAGCATGAAACAACCCATGGGAGTTTTTGCTATTGAGGGAACACCTAAGTAAGCTGCTTAAGGAATTTACAGTACTTTTATGCTTCCAGTAAAGGAATTGTAGAGGGCAAGAAATATTATATGATTCACTTACGTTGAGTTGTTCTGTTATTTTTGAAAGGAGCAATGCTTACTGAATTTGTAGAGTTCTTAGTTCTCTGAGAGTTCATGACCACCAAATTCTAAGATGATCAGGGTGCATTTACTAACTGTGAAAATGAAAAATAGAGAATTAGAAATGAAAATTGCCTTGACTTTTTACTAAGGTTGCTAGTCTAAGGATTTCAGTGTAGGAGTGGTTATGCTAAATTGGATGTAAGCCTCAAATTCCAGTACTAGCATAAATGCATAATAATAAATTCCTACAAAATTGAATTGCTTGGACCAGCAAACCAAATAAAAAAGTAAGTTGAATGAATAAAAAATGAATGATCTCTATACAACATAATAAGAATATTTAACCAGAAGCAACACTTCCAGCAAAATAGACATAAAAAAGATTATTAAATATAAGGACAGAACCATAGGTGTAAAATTTTTAAAAGCCACCACCACGGAGACGGAGCACGAGGTGAAGGGTGGACTCCTTCTGGATGATATAGTCTGCAAGGGTGCGCCCATCCTCAAGTTGCTCACCAGCAAAGTTGCTCACCAGCAAAAATCAGTCGCTGCTGGTCTGGAGGAATACCTTCCTTGTCCTGAACCTTTGCTTTAACATTGTCAATTGTATCTAAGCTCTCCACTTCCAATGTGATTGTCTTCCCTGTCAAGGTCTTGACAAAGATCGGCATCCCTCCCCTCAGACGCAGCACCAAATGGAGTGTCATGACTTCTTTTGAATGTTGTAGTCTGCAAGTGTCCTCCCATCCGCGAGCTGCTTGCCAGCAAAAATCAGTCGCTGCTGATCTGGGGGAATGCCTCCCTGAATCTTTGCTTTAACATTGTCAATTGTATCTGAGCTTCTCCACTTCCAATGTGATGGTCTTCCCTGTTAAGGTCTTGACGAAGATCTGCATGCCTCCCCTCAGTCGCAGCACCAAATGGAGTGTTGACTCCTTTTAAATGTTGTAGTCTGCAAGTGTCCTCCCATCCTCGAGCTGCTTGCCAGCAAAAATCAGTCGCTGCTGATCTGGGGGAATGCCTTCCTTGTCCTGAATCTTTGCTTTAACGTTGTCAATTGTATCTGAGCTCTCCACTTCCAATGTGATGGTCTTCCCTATTAAGGTCTTGACAAAGATCTGCATCCCTCCCCTCAGGCGCAGCACTAAATGGAGTGTTGACTCCTTCTGAATATTGTAGTCTGCAAGTGTCCTACCATCCTCAAGCTGCTTGCCGGCAAAGATCAGCCTCTGCTGGTCTGGGGGAATGCCTTCCTTATCTTGGATCTTTGCTTTAACATTGTCAATGGTATCTGAACTTCAACCTCAAGTGTGATGGTCTTTCCTGTGAGTGTCTTCACAAAGATCTGCATCTGTAATTATACATTTTTTTTAGTAACTGTAATTAAACATTATAATTACTATTGTTTAAAAAAAAAAAAAACATTATAATTACTATCAAAGCTACTCCAGATTACAGCATTACAAATTCATATCACCAAGCTATAATATATTATATATACAAGGAGCAGTACAAATTGACATTGCACTTAAAAGCAATAAACATCAACCCACCATCAGAAACCTGTGTTTAAAACATAATCTTTTGGTTGAAAAAGATGAATTCAATCTTCTTATGTATGATTCACAACCCATATAAACCAATGGCATATCTATACCCAATAATAAAAAATCACCAAATGCATATAGATCTGCAGAATTCTCTATTCACATGGTTCAATTTTACGATTGTTAAAATCTGGAATGAATTTTATCAGATTCTTGTGGCAAATATTTATCTCATGTTTATACACACCCCACAAAAAAATCCCAGAATCATATTTATCGAGAACATCAATACGGAGTATTTGCAAACAGAATAGAACCCTTCATCCACCACTACCACCACGAGCAGTGAACGTAAATTCATGAATTAAAATATAACAACACAAAAGATGACAATCAATTCAACGAGCGACACCCGAATCAAGTTACTGCGTTCTTTTCGAATCTAAAAACCATCAGAAACATAAATAGCATCAATATCCTAACACAATTGAACTCTTCATCCGCAAGCACAATGAATTTCACGAAACGGATTCCAAAATTTTCAATATTATAGCAATTCAACAAGGATCAGAAATAAGGATAAAAAAAGAAAGTAAGAAATTTACCTTGAGAGTGCATATAGGGAATCAACCAAATGAAGAAAAGAGATCTCCGTTTTAGCGCCTATGTAATTTGATGATAAATGAAATGTCGAGAGAGGAGTATATATAGGTAGTGGTTGCCGAGTAGGGTCCGCGAAATGTGTGGGGGTGCTTGCTGCGGTAAAGATGGATTGGCGGCGTTAAAATCTCCTACAAAATTAATTATTATTTGAGTTAATTCCATATTTATTCCACAAATTTAATAGGTTTTTTAGATGAGTAATGCTATTCACTTCCTAAAAATTTTCCCTCCTTGATATTGTTACAAATATATATTATTAATGGACATTATTAGGTATTTATTCTTGTAACGGTTGAAACGGTTTCTGGAATTTATTGTATAGATTATCTTGTACCCTATATATAATGTACCATTGTACAGAATGTATAGAGAATGAATATGAGATTCCCCTTTTTCTCTCTATTCTATTTTTCCTTATAACACGTTATCAGCACCTGATGCTTTACCGAATGGATTATCAGAGTTTGATTTTACCTACCGTGATGCTAATCTCTGGATTGGTGTCGAGAAGGCGAGATCATCCAGACGGGGACGCCGTTGTGAATCCCGTAGCCTCCCGCCTCATCCGTCGCGCCAATCAAACTTCGTGGTTATCACCGATCGTAAATCTTGAGGCCTGCCGCAATGGATACTTCTCGCAATCCGATCGGCGAGTCAATGATTGGGAGATGCGGAACTTCTGATCTGATTTCTCTCTTGTTGGATCTTCCTCAGATCAGCATTACGGGATCTTGAGGAATAGATCTCGCAGTGCGTTTTTTAATACAAAACACAGACACCACCAGCCGTTGTCGTTGTCGCCGAGAAGAATCAGCCACCGCCGTCTGCCACCCCGTTACCGCCACTAAGAGTTTCAACCTGGAAATCCAGAACCGAAAATGCTCTAGCAATTTTGAGAGAAAAGGATGATCTGGATGGACTGATCGCCGTAGCGAACTAATCTGGATGGACTGATCGCTGATCAGCCGTAGGCGGCTCCTTGGATCGTTGTTGCGCGGCCGACAAGTTTCAGGCGTGAATAAGAGGCGGACAAAGGAGCAGCGTCAACACCGACGCCGTCCGTTCCATTCTCCATTGACCAGCCCAATACAATTGGTCGTCTTGCAGATACGTACAATTCCCTCTCACTTCATATTTGCTACTATGTCTGCATATATATATATATATATATATATATATATATATATATATATATATATATATATATATATATATATATATATATACTAGCATTTTGTACGCGCGATGCGCGAAAACTTATGCCCAATATTAAAATATTTGTAAGTAACAAAATTTTAAAAATTAGTTAAAATTATGTTTTGCAATTTCTTAAATTGATGATACTTTTGAATTATCATATATTTGAATAATATAGTGATCAAAAAAAAAAAATTATACTTTTATATAATAATAATTTACAAATAATACTAAGCTAGCACTCACATATATGATATATTGATATGGATACACAAATAATATACATATATATATATATATATATATATATATATATATATATATATATATATATATATATATATATATATAAATATTTAATTAAAATATAATTTATAATTAAATTAATTGTTATATGATCATTTTAATAAAATGATAATTAAAAATAGGAAAAAGATATGATAGATGTAGGTGTATGGTAAGATTGGTAGATATATTAAAAACTAACGGTGTTATAACGGTGTAAGGGTGATTTTGTCCAATGCAAATGAATGTACAACAATTAAAGCACAATGTATACATTTATTAGCATATAAAAAAGGGACAAAAATCAAGGACATAACTTGTATTGACACTTATTATGTTTTTAGATATATATATATATATATATATATATATATATATATATATATATATATATATATATATATATATATATATATATATATATATATATGTATGTATGTATGTATGTATGTGTATGTATATATGCAGTAGTATGTCTGTGTGTGCATATATATATTCCTTTGCGGCAAATTCAATCTAGTGGCAGCGCTAATTACATTCTAGGCACCGGGAAGCAAGTGTGCGATAGCTTCGAATTTTTTCAGGCGATGGATCACTACTGTTTTTTCCTTACCTTCACTCCTTGTTAATGCTAATATATCCACGTATTTGGTGTGATCTCATGGCTTTGAAGAAAATATACAGTTAGTGATTTAATTAATATACTTGCTAATTGCTAATTATATTATTTTGTGATTAATATTTGGAGGTTAATGTTGCCTTGCCTTATATGATCAAATGCTTGGAATGCTATGTTGTCTGGGTACATGCAAAATGGAATGCACACTTATGGGTCAAACCAATCTGTATGTGTACATATATATGTGCATGCGTTACTTTGCATCTTTTATATGAGGCTATAGGCTAATCATGGTCCCTTATTTTAGTGTTAATCATACTGCTAATTTGGTTCATTTTGGACCCTCGCATGCCTGAAAAACTATGATCACTGTAGCTTGAAAATTATATTCGTAAAAAAATATCTGTTGAATTCCTTTTGGCCTGAAACTTTTTGGGAGAACCTGGACTTACGATATTTTATGTATTTAAAAAGATTTTCTCAAAATATGCTTTGGTTGTTCCAGAAAAATTCGGTAAAGTTCTGGCAGTGTCCTGCCAGTTATTTTTCTGTCTGGCGCAGTGTTGAAAATTTTTTTGGAAAATATACTTCCAGACCTTTGATTGGCATGAAAATTTTTATGTACATTCTAGATTTGGTGAACTTCGTATCTCAAACATTTTTTTTTGCCAAAATGTGTTACCGTTTCCCCCCAGAAAATTCTGCAATTTGGGTCAAAGTTGCTGAAATTTGCTATCAATTTCAGTATCTTGAATTATTTAAGCACATTGAGAAGTTGATTATTTGAGAATATACACATATATTTGCATGATGATAGCAATACTCACATTGCATCAGACTTGGCATTTGAATGCCTAATTGGTTTTTGGGATAGCAAATTATGATGTTGGCAACACAGTTTCATTTGTTCATAATGTGTTCAGAATTTGAGAACTTCTATTTGTTCAAATTTGCTTTGTAGCTATGTGAACCATAAAACAAAGAGGATTTGTTGTTTTCTCTTGTTGATAACAAATATTTGCTATAGGCCATGAATGCTACAACGTGAAGTAAACTTTTAAGACAAATATTTTTAAAGTCATAGTATTATTTGAGCTTTAAACCATAAAACAGTGAGATAGTTCTGTTAAGGTGCACCTGTCGTTGCTAAACCTTAGCTTGCATGTGATTAAATGCTACTATGACCTGTTAAATTTATTTGCATAAAATTTGTTAGGCTTACTGCTGCCCGGACATTGTACAATGCTCTTGGCTTTGCTCAAGCAAAATTTTAACAATGATATGGAGCGGGATTATATTATGAGAGTTGTGGCTACTCTTTCACCAGAAGTGAAAATTCGACAGGATTTTTTTTGAATGTTTGGTGTCTAAATTCATCAACACACTACGAGATGTTAGCTCCATGCATGCAGGTCATATTTTTGCTCATATTATTTATGAATTTTTTTTTTCAGAAAGCAAATTAAGCATTTTTGGAGGAAATATTTTTTTTGGGGACCTTCAAAATTGAAAAACCAATATCCTGATCCACTACATATCACATACGCTAGTACAAGATGCATTTCCCTATCTGCGTTCAATTTTTTTTTAGTATGCAACCCTTCTAGCTATATCCCATCATGAGAAATCAACAGTGATGTTGGTTGCATTATAAGATCTTTTCTTGGCATTAGGGGGAGATTTGAAATTTCTAATTAATTAAATGCCGAGAAATTGATAAAAATCTTCAAACCCATGTACTAGCCTTATAGAACCAGAAGTTCAGACATTGAACAAATTATCTGCTAGAAATCTCAAAGAGTGACTAAGTCCATAGAAAATATTTCATATATATTAAGAGTTGAAATCCCCAACTAGGACTAAATATTTCTACCATTATGCAAGAAGCATATATTGGTTTAAGAATTTACAAAACTAGATCTAGTGTAGAAATTTCGTCACTCCAGAAATATAGAAATTTTATCCTGAAGATATTCGTCTAGAAGGCGAAAACCCCAAGTAAAATTGTAGGGGCACCAAACAACTAAAATACTGGGGAAGCGGAACAACCAAATTCAAATAATCTGGGAAATGCCATATATTTGGTTGATACAAAATTGCCATGTGTATAAAAGATATCTACAAAGCTGTTACAGTTGTCGACAACATATTTTGCCTCTATTGCTCATAAATACTTAAGTCTGGATCCAGAAATGAAAATAGTAGTATAACGCCTGCAGCGTGCGCTAACTGTTTTCATAGAAAATAGCATTAAGACATACAAATCAGAATTCGCTAATAAAAGGCGAGTGGAGGGTTTTCGCAGAGACCCAATATTAATCATGGCTTTATATTCCGCTATTCAATAAAACTAGCAGTAAATAAATTAGATATGTGGTTAATAGTTATAGTTATCACGTATTTATATGGGTAACTTGTTACTTATATTTAAAATCCTTGATGGATTTTCTCAAAATGTGATGAATGAAAATCACAAAATAAGAAGTATAAAAGTTAGTAAGTTACTAACTATGATCTTTTAAATGTATTTTCTCCCCCATAACAAAGTATGAAAATATATTATCATAAACATGCCTAGTAATGTTATATGTGATTGGGAAACTCAAATATTGTTTCCTCTTGAAAATATCCTAAATATATATCCTCTAGTTTATCTTAAAAAATCCCTAATGGATTTATAATTCCCGAAATGAGGATTTACTTAAGTATATTTAAGTGCCATTATTTACTTTTTAGAGAGTTGCGAATGGGGTTATTATCCTCATATAGAAGGAATAATATGTACCATTATGTGCTCAATAAAGAGTTGATAATGGACTTATTTATTATCTCAGTCAATATTTATGGTGTAAACATCAATGAAATATATAAAAAGCTTGATGATGTTAAGTTGTGAGATAAGATAACGAATAGCAAATCAAGGTAAAAATACTCGTATTGATGCTTTTTGGCATGAAGTCATCATACTTGTTACATATAAAAATGTATATAGTTTTTCATGATATAAAATACCTTGATCCACATGAACTCCAGAAGAGTGATAAAATATTTGTTTAGAAGGTTTGCTCCAGTGACAAGTTAGCAAATGTATACCTACAAAATATCCATAAGATTGATATGTGTAGGTGAAGAAAAATTATTATATTTAGGGGGAGCAACAAAATATAAACTATAAATAATTTTATTAGTCCAGATGATCATGAGAAATATGATAAATTCTAATGACAATCCTGAAGATTGTACCATATCCCTTCTCTACACCCTTTAGAAACAATGATTTACACGCAATATAGAATTTGAAGATTGTTATCTTCAGGGGGAGACAGGAAGTACACTCACTCGAGTCAATCCTGTAGATTGGTCAATCATGTAGATTGGGTCTTAAAAGGACTAATAGTTATACTTTTTGCAGCATATACATACCATGTACTCTTTTCCTCACTAGGTTTTTCCCGATGGGTTTTCTAGTGTGATTTTTAACGAGGCAGGGGTATGATATAGTAATGACAATGGGGGAAAGTTGCAAAATAATTGGTTAATAAATGAACAAACTCCAAAATCCTGAAGATTATGCAGATTATGCCCTGAAGGCTTATGGTGTACTCTTTTTTCCCTTAACTAAGTTTTTCCCACAGGGTTTTCTTATGTTAAGGTTTTTAATGAGGCGACCAATACAATATATGTTTTTACATATATCATGTACTCTTTTCTTCAACTAGTTTTTTTTTTTTTCCCACGTGGTTTTCCTAGTGAAGTTTTTAATGAGGCATGGATGTATTTAAATATACTATCGATATACCTCGTACTCTTTTCTTGTTTAGGTTTTTCCCACAGGGTTTTCCTAACAAGTTTTTGACGAGGCAAGGTTGTGGACAAATAATGTCCAAGGGGGAGTGTTACAAATATATATTATTAATGGACATTATTAGATATTTATTCTTGTAACGGTTGAAACAGTTTCTGGAATTTATTGTATAGATTATCTTGTACCCTATATATAATGTACCATGTACCATTGTACAGAATGTATAGAGAATGAATATGAGATTCCCCTTTTTCTCTCTATTCTATTTTTCCTTATAACAGATATGACACTTTTTCATTAGACGGTTTAGTCTTTATAAGAAGTTAGTGGAATCAATACTCAATGGTCAGGAGAGATTTTAGGAGGGAACAAAGCATTTTCCATTTTAGATTTAATTTCTGCCATTATTTTCAGAGGCAAACAATTGAATATAACCTCTGCTTGGATATAGTTTAGAGTTTAGAAAGGGTTTGAATGGCGAGAGAGGTTTGGAGCGTATGTGGTTGATAAGGAGTTGGTTTGGTAATGGTAAGATTCTAAATTTAAGTTTTTTTTTTTTTTTTTGAAAGTCTAAATTTAAGTTTTTTTAAGAAGTTATATATATTGGCCCTGTTTGGTAAAATGGTTGTTAGCTGATAGCTGTTTGCTGTTAGTTGATTGTGTTAATTAGAGGGTATCAATAGTTGATAACATTAGCTGATTGTTGAAAAGTGTTTGGTAAATTAGCTGTTAGCTGATAGCTGTTTGGTATAATTTCTTTTCTCAAAAAGCTAATTGAAAAAGTTGCTAGGAGTAGCTTTTTTAATTTTAGTCTTTTAGAGTTGCAAAAAGCTAATTAACCAAACATTTATATTGATATTTTAACTAAATCAAACAATTAATAATGGTCAAATAAGCCAAAATTGGCCTATAGGCCAATTTTTTACCAAACAAGGCCATTATCTTTTTTGGTTTGAGTTTGTTAACTATGAATAATATAATTTTTTTATTTATCTCTCCTCCTAATCTTTTGTTAATTAAGGTCACAAGGTGACAACAAGTTTTTCCATAAATCAAATATATAGCATGCTTTTCATCAAATATTAGTGAATGAGTGAATGAAATGTACTTGGTTATCCTGGGATATAACAACAAATGAATAGAAATTAAGATGGAGGACTAAATTTGGTAAAACTAACAAAGTCATAGTTGGAATGTAGTCAAATTATTTATCAATAGCTAAATCTGGCAAAGTGATGGACTATGTCTAGTATTAACTCAATATTCATTTAATTTGTAATACATAAAATAAAATAAAAAAATTGTATTAGGCTTGTGAGCTACTTGTTGGGCTTGATTCGTTAGTCGAGCTCAAGTTTAAGTGGACGACAATAATTAAGGTGGAATAGCTTGACTCATTTACACGTCTAGTGTAGTAGTGATTGAATTGTATTGAGAATAAATTTGGAATGGAGTTGTAGTTGAATCTGGTATCTCATTCTCATTCCCCTTTCCTTGGGCTATATATCATCTATCTATATCAGCTGAGAAATCTGGTTCCAGAGGCTTGTGTAATGAGTTGAGGATATGAAGCGAGCTCATCCTCCTGCTGCTACTACTACCCTTTCCCTTTCTTGAGCTTGCAGCATACATACCCAAGTGAGAAGGTTGATTCTCCCTGGCGTTGAGTGCTGCGAGGTGTTTCCGTTTGTTGTAGCGAAACCAGGCTGCTTGTATGAAGCATGCAGCCCAGGTCCTCCAGTGGTGCGAGTAGAACTTGAAGGTGTGCCTCAGCTGCTTGGTGTGCAGCTTCCTGAACTGCGATGCAACGAATCTGAGGTCGTCTGCAGCCAGCGCGAATGCTTCTGTTTCTGTGAGGGCTGTGACTGTGCGTGAAGACGAAGGGAGGATGATGCTGGGGTGCGGGTCTAGAGCCCAAGTTAGCAGCTCTTCTCCGCAGAAATCACAGGGGCCCAGCCTGCACGAGTTGAAGAACCCGCTTCGCCCTCCATCTGTGGTGTAAGACTCCAGGCGGCCGCGAATGATGAACAGCATTTCGCTCACAGGATCTCCCTCTCGCAGAAGCCGAGTTCCTGGTGTGAATAGCACCGGCTTTAGCCTCTCACAGATTGCATCCAGAATGCACTCATCCATCTCATCAAATACTGCAACCTGCATTTTCATCTACACATTATTATTGATGTTGTGGCAACTTTATTTCCTTATATTTGGACAACAAAACTATACTTACACGTCGAACCAGACCAAGACAGAGATGGCGTTTGATGTCTCGTCTGAGATCCAAAGGAAGACCTCTGACAATGGCTTCTTCATCGACGCCTCGTGTAGTCACCCATTTATGGAGATGATATCTGCGCACTCTGTCCTTGAGCTCGTGTGGGAGCTGCCGGTGGTGCATCCACTCTTCTGCATCAGTCCTCTTCACCCTCCACTCTTCTAGCCTCAGAGTGGCAGACTGGAGGTATGTCTGATATATATTACAGTCAAAAAAAAACAAATTAAAGCAAGAAATGGATCGGAAATGCTTCAACCCCACAAATCAACACATCCATCATCTTAAACTTACTTGCATATTCCCGATAAGTAAGGCGAAAAGAACCAATCCCAGAATTGCAACAACAATGGCAAAGTTGTTTTCTCCAATGTAGGCACCTGTGGTGAGGTTCTGCCCAAGAGAGCTGCAAGCAAATTAAACACTGTTTCGGTGATGATGCTTTCATTGCTATCTATATATTGTTAGCCTACCTCAGGTTCCTCAGCCCCCACCGGAGGCAGTAAGAGTACTTGTCCAAGAACGACGCCTGCCCAACTCCAAAGCTCATAATATCACCATAAATCCCAAAGTAGTACAAGTCAGTGTCAGGACCACATAATCTGGAGATGTTGCTCCACTCATACCACCCAACTCTTCTGCCTTCATGCCTCCATCTGCAATCAAAGTACCAGTACTGGCAATTTGGCTTTTGCTCATCACAAACCTTTTTCCAACACTGTTCTTGCCTTTCAACACCCAAAAAGTACCAACACGAACCAATGACCTACATAATTTAAGAATGCTATTAGCCAAGATTTAGGATTTTTTTCCAAGAAGACTATAAGAAATTGAATAATTATTATTGGGCGGAGGCTGATAAAGGGCTGGCTTAAAAAGGCCAGGTCCAACACCCAGCATCCCGAAAATGTGATGGCGGTCTATAAGCAAATAAAGTGGTAAGTGCTTGATCCTAATTCCTAACAAGTGGTATCAGAGCCAAGTCAAGGAATTGTTGGGCGGCAGGCAGAGGGCGGAAAAAGGCCAAGTCCAGCACCCATCGTCCCGTAAAGTTGCGTTTTCGCTACTAGCTATAGCTTTTGGTGTAAGTGGTAAGCACTTGATCCTAACAATCATACACTTACATGACTTGCCAGCATATAGAGGAGCAAGTTGCATGCTGCCCCAGCCCACACAGCTTCCACCATCACACCAGTGGTCTTGATGATTTTAGATGACAGAGGGAAAATGAGATACAATCTCAGTAGGAATTGAGACATTATAGTGAGGCGAAGCGCATGTTTGGCTGAGATTTTGTTTGAGCCTCTCATAGATGGGATTGCAGCCCAAATCAAGACCTGAAAAATATGAGTAAGAGACACTAAACATTAAAATCAAGAATTCGGGGCGGGGGCTAAATCTTGGAAAGAACACGGATGACCTGTGGAAGAGGAAGAGCAGCTAACAAGTCGAACCACAAGTCCTTAGAGAAATACCGGGATGCAATCCTTTTAGAGTCAATGACGAGCTCTCCTCTCCCATAAACTCGAGAGGAAGGCGCTACATAAGCTGTTCTGAACCTAACAAAAATCTGGATGACATAGAATGCATCTATCACTGATCGAGTTACTGTGAGGACTATCTCGAGGGGATGACTTGCAGCCAGGCACATCTCGTCCTCAATGCTCGGTAGATAAAAGAACAGAGGGTCAACAAAAAGAGAAGCAAGGCATGCTAAGAGGAATAACTTATTCCATAGGCTAAGGCTGGTTCCGCGAGGATCAAATATATTCCTCTGCACTGCTTCATAGTCCTCTGAAAAGACTCGTGAAAGCTTCTTCTTCTGGAAGCCCTTTCTCGCTGCTTCCAATTCAGTCTTCTGCTCCTCGTTTTTCATGGAGGCAGCAACGTTAAACTTCCCCTCTTCTGCAGTTTCAACAAGCTCGTCTCTAAATCTGGCAATAAATACAAGTTCAGATAAACCAAATTGCTGAGACAAAGTAGAGGTTCGAGGGAGAACATAGACGAAAACATACCGTACAGATTTCATACTGTCAAGACCCATTATGCATTAGAGTAATTCAGTTTGCAGTGAATAAAATGGAAGGCTATATAATGGGAATATGTTGATTGCTAGAGAACAGATGAAGGTATGTTGAAGTTTTGTAATTTCTTGGAAAACAATTTTATCACCATCTGTTGGTTGAATGTTGTGAGGTCAAAAGGGATAAGTGTCCTCAGACTTTCAAAGGCTAAATATTATGAAAGGACAAAATCTGTTTGCGTTTAAGGATTCTTGACAGGAAGTCTACTGTTTCTAATTTTGGTTGGTTTGTCTCAATAAAGCAAAGAAGACAAAGATGCGAATCTGTTTGATAATGTTGAGATCATTGATTATAATGTACATTAGTAATACTTACTATAAAGTATAAACGCCAAGTAATAATACATATAAAAATCAACTCCCTCCAATCAAGTTGAAGACAAAGATGCGAATCTGTTTGATAATGTTGAGATCATTGATTATAATGTACATTAGTAATACTTACTATAAAGTATAAACGCCAAGTAATAATACATATAAAAATCAACTCCCTCCAATCAAGTTGATAATCACAAAGGACATGAGAAAGACTTGATCACGAGCCGCAGTTAAATTGATCATATTATTATTTACTTGATAACCACAAGAGACAACAACGACCTATTGGCCTCCTTGGTTTAAGCCGATCAACTTAAACTAGTTTACCTACCAAGAACAACCTATGGTCTGAGTCGTTCAACTATGAACAACATAAACTAATGAGATTTACCCAATACATACTCTCAAGTCTCAAGTAGTAATTGTAGGTTCCCCTCGTCACTTAAATAAAAAATCAACTTGTAAACTCAATTAACATAACATGCAAACGAAACCTGAACTTGATGGGGTCAAGAATCAAGAATGTATGCATTTTTCTTGCACTGCAAATACATATTACTACAGCATTCTTCAGACCAGATTCAAGAAAACCAATTGATCCACAACAATTTTAATGTGTCTAATCCACCATAACTTCATAAGTTGCACATTACAAGTAACATTGGAGAGGCATATTCTATCTAGAACATATATCAAAAACATAAATAGACTAGTTTGCTCTTTGTAAGTTGAAATGCAGCCAAAGTGGTGTGTGGGTAAAACCTCTCCGCAAAACCCAGGTCCTTATCAGCCTTGCTTCGTTGTCACCCGCGTCTCATCAGAACAGAACTGTTGAGGAAATCGAAAACCTCTTCAGGAAAATAACAATATCGGAAATCTTGATTTTCTAATAAATATCTACCCAGTGGTTGTTTAGCTTCATTAGATGTGTCGATTTGAAGAAAAGCATACACAAAGCTTACCGCGAGGGTTTTTCTTGGTAGAAGGAAATCAGGCACCATTGACAGATGACAATCTCAGAACCGCCTAGGAGGGCGGGATTCAGCAGGACTTACTCGGATTTGTCTACCATTTAGTTCCTGAACAAAAATTCACAAAAAGAATTGCAAATGTAAGTAGGGAACTATAGAAGTTTAATTTTGAAAAAGAAAAGATACCAAAAAAAAAAAAAAAAAAAGAATTTCAGATGTCAGAGATCAAACAAAGAACATACCAATGAAGAGCTTTCCTACAGTCAAAGAAGAATATTACATATACTTGACAAAAATCAGAGGCTTTTAGTTTTAGAGCATATATGAAGTTTTTTTGCTTAGCCAAAACTGGACAATTGGATTAGAATCAACTCGTATGAATATAAAGAATTAATGAAATTGTTGCAATGTTTTCCAGCAACTGTTGTTGTACAAGATTATATTGGAAGCTAAAGCTTAAAGCCAGTAATGAAGTTTTCCGAGGACCAGATGAACATATAACCATGCAAAGAAATGAACTCGTTTTATGCATCATGCATAAATATGGGAAAGAAATGGACTCAATATACGAATATACTTACAGCTCCATTCAAATTCTCAGCAGCACTGCTGGCCTCCTCAGAAGAACTGTATGTAACAAATCCAAAACCCTTTGATCTGCCACTCTCTCGGTCATACACCACTTTGGCTTCCATCACCTTTCCATGCTCACTGAACAAAGATTCAAGAGCGTCCTCATCAACACCCCATGAAAGGTTCCCAACATGGAGTCTATTGCCGCTGCCAAAACTGCCCCCGTAACTGCCACCACCCCTGGATTCTCTGAAAGAAGATGTTTCCCTCTTAGGTGGCGGTGGCCCAGAATTTACCCTCAGTGGCCTCCCCTCAAGTTCCTGTGAAACATCATACATTTACTCTTAATGATATAAATATACACACTTTACTTAGCCAGATGAAGCTGTAAATGTGGATTGAGCAGAAGGGTATATTAATGTCATCAAAGTTAAGATTCCAGAAATACAACACACAAACATATATGACATTGAATAGCAGCACATATTTGATCAGAAAGTCAAAGAACTTTCTTTGAAAAATATTATCCTTAAAACTAAAAATTAAAAAAGAGAAACCAAAGCTCATTTTCAACCAATTCTCATTAGCCACATTCACCATGTAGATTCAAGCAATGTATAAAGGTAATTGCAGTGCATAAAAGTACACAAAATTCAAACTTGAAGTAAAAGCTCACATATCCATTGAACTGTTGAGCAGCAGCTTCAACTTCCTCCACTGTAGACATTGTCACAAACCCAAACCCTCTGCTTCTTCCAGTCTGTTTGTCATATATAACCTGAAAAGGTTTCAAACTTTAAAATTTAGTTTACCATTCTCCAATTAAACCCTTAAAAAAACTGCAAAAAAGTAAAAAAAATAAAAAAAATTACAGCAGACATAGCTATGCTATCACAATTCAGGAAATGAGAGCAAAAGAAACTAGTTGCAGCTTAAAGATTCAAAGCCCATAAACACATAATCATACATACAATGCAATTCAACTATTTACAGACACTAGCATAAAAAACTTTGGAAATGACAAAATGCTAGAACAATTCAAATCCCATACTAACGCGCATCCATGAAAGAAAAAAGGGAAAAACTAAAATAATAGCTATGGTAGAGAGAGGGGAAGTTATACCTCAGCCATTTCAACACTTCCAGCTTGGCTAAACAGCCCAGCAAGAGTAGCGCTCTCTACGTTGAAGGGCAAATTCCCGACGAAGAGCTTGAGTTCAGGAGGGAAACTCGGTTCGTTGGAGTAGGAGTAGGAGGCGCCACCACTGGGAGTTTCCTCCTCGAA